GGAGGGTGGACGTCTCAATCGATGAATTGGAACGTAGTGGCACCATCGACAAGTGGTGGCCTTTGTTGGACAACAGCGATCGTTCCGTTGGCACGCTTCTGGCTCGATTTACGCTGGACGAGACGGTTATTCTGATGGAGTCCGAGTACGAAGAATTTGCCGCTCTTCTGCAAAACTACACGAATGGCTTGACAACACAAATCGCTCATCTCCTAGGACCCGATCTTCGACAATTGTCGGACATCCTTCTGGACATATTCCAGGCGTCGGGCACTGCTACAGACTGGATCAACAACCTAGTGGAGGAAGAAATTGACGGCATCTACAAAGATACACCCCCAATGCGAATGCGCTTCAGTGGCCGCATCCACTCCAATGATTCGTACGAGTCGGCCGAGCAGAGAGAAATGCTAGTCCGTGACCTCAGTCGATCAGCTACAATGGAGGCCAACTTACTTTTCCGGGGCAATTCCCTCGTAACCAAGGCACTAGATGCTCACATGCGCAGACTAGGAAGAGACTATATGGAGGATGTCCTGGGTGAAAAATTGCGCAAGATCATCGAAAAAGATCCTGACTGCGAAGTCGATCCCAGCAGGGTCCGGTCGCCAGATCAGCTCGACAAGAACTGGGCCAACTTGTTGTTTCTCACCAGTGAAATTTGGAAGTCAATCTATGCCTCCGCGGCTCAGTGTCCGATGGATTTGCGCGTCGTTTTCCGCCATGTCCGGTCTTGTGCAGAGGATCGATATGGCTCTTTTATTCGGACGGTCAAGTACACGAGCGTCTCCGGTTTTCTGTTCCTTCGTTTCTTTTGTCCTGCAATTTTGAATCCGAAACTCTTCGGCTTAATCCAGGGTAAGCTTTACTGGTCATCCTTCTCGGCTCATGCTAATATCTCTAGATTTGCCCCCTGACCGCACGAAGAGGACTTTTACATTGATTGCAAAGTCACTCAATGTTCTTGCAAACTTGGCACGATTCGGCACCAAAGAGCCTTGGATGGAACCCATGAACAAGTTTTTGGCAGCGTCGACGAATCAGTTCAGAGCCTACATCGACGAGATATGTTCCGTCAGCTCCTCCCAGATTGCTTCGGCTAAACTTGAGCCTCAATATGCTGCGCCAAATCAGATACGAGGCCGACTTCCAGCCCTGTCCCGCGAGGGCCTCCCCAGCCTTCCATTCCTTCTGGACCATGCAAAGCTGATGGCACAGCTCATTGACCTCTGGGTTACGCATGCTCCTGAAAACATTAGTGAAGCAACTGACGACGAGGCTGTGCAAGCATTTCATGCGGTGTGTGTGAGGCTCTCGCAAAGGAGCAAAGAATGCCTGAAGGCTGCGGAGCAAGCTGAACGGCCTGACGAAAGGTCGGAACATACCTGGCAACGGCTTGTTTCAGACCAGCAAAATCCTATGGCGCCTAACAACACTTTCGAGGTGACTTTACGAAGATCACAGAGGGACAATGAGATCACGGCTCTTCCCCAAACGGCAGACACCGTGGCAGATGTAGAATACAAGAATATTGAACTCTCTCCAACTGTTGGAGAAGGCGACACGACACCATCTAGCTCAACATCAGCGTGGGAAAGACGGATTCCCTACCCTCAACGGGCAGCAGAGACCCGAACAATGACTGACTCGACGAATTCATCAACTGATGCAGTTGATATGGTTGAAGATGCTCGGCGGCCAATGTCCAGCAGCCGCGATGGTCCGGCCAAAAGCCGGTTGTTTGAATTAATGAGTTCTTCTTCACGGCGGAGAGGAAAAACTGGGGATCGCAGTTACGTGGACGACGACGGGCACGAGCTTTGACGACAGATGCAGCAGGATTTTATGATCTTTTTGACGTCGCTAGATACCAAACCATGTACAAGAAACAATGATCTTTTAGTACCAGTCTCATAGGCATTGCCCAGCTGCCATTAGTTGATGACTGATCCTTCATCCAAGAAGCTACAAAAAGAGGGAAACTCTCCGTTCTTTTAATATAAGCGGGGAGGTAATGGTTAGAGCAGCGACGGCAACCTCGTGCCTGCAACCTAACACTTCTCGCTGACTAGCGTTCTACCTCAAATTTGGAGTGGCGGAATGGTACAGTATTATGACCAGACAAACAATCCAGACGAAGAGCGGAGAGCATTTCAGGAGCCGATGTCTCACTTCAAGAGAGTTTGAACGCGGCCGATCGCACGTCAGTCAGTGCAAGGAAACCTTAGTGAGACACCTCAGACCAACCTCTCCCTGGCTGCCAGCCTTCCAGCCACAATGTCCAACCAATCCAAGATCCTCGGGAACCAGAGCATCTGTTCCTGTCTCTTCCACCAGGCAGCACCGCGACTACCACCATCGATCGATTCGTCGCCTTTTTCCTTTTCCTTTGCCTTTTCCCTCGCCATCTCCAGGGCCCTTTCCTCTTCAATCCCTCCTAGGACGGAGTATGTCCCCTCGTCCATCTCGACCCCACCCCTCTCCATTTCTGAGAGCAGCTCGTCCACCTCCCGCAGGGAACTCCGCGTCAGCCAGACCAGGGACATCAACGAGTTGTAGAACTGGGGACTGGCGCCGAGCACGTACGACGTGGTGCCTAGAGAGCGGATCCGCGGCAGGAGGAGCAGCGCGTAGGGCGACGAGGGATAGAGGTTCATGTATAACCTGAGTGCGAGGAGGATGGAGGCCGGGTACGTGTGCTGGAGGATGGCGAGCTGGGCTGGAGAAGGTGTCGATGGCGAGATATGGTGTTGGCCCGCCACAGGTGAGTTTTTATTCGTGGTGTCTTCCGTGACACGGGTGCCAGAGATAGAAGAGGAAAGCCGTAGCTCTCTTTCCGCCGCTTCGATCATTTGGCGGGGATCGTCAGACTTTCCTCGCGAGAATGTAAACTTTCGCAGGCCCCCGTATCTCGGCGTCTCCTCCTTGCCAGCCAGCGGCCGACGAGAACTTGGCTGTAAGTCCGTGGCTATGGAAAAGATCTGAGACTCGCAAACCTCCCACATGGCGATGTCGCCTCTCTTGGCCTTCGAATATGCTGCGTCCTGAAGAGCTCGGGATATAGAGTGCATGTGGTCACGAACGGCCTGTTGGATGGATTCTTCGAGTTGGCTGAACGGGTGGGACGGAATGGCGGTCTCGGCGAGTGATTGTTCCAGGATATCTCCTTGTCGTAGCTCGGGGAAAGGGCCCTCCTCTGAGACTGGTGGTGCTGAATGTATGTCGACTTGTGTCGTCGAGTTTTCTGTCATTTCGGCAGTGGTTGTTGCCTCCCTTTGAATTGAAGTGGAGAGACTTTCTCCACGGTCAATTTTGGCGTCTAGACCTATCTGCTCTCCTAACTCTGGGTCATCTTGTTCTGTTGACGGTTGTTGGTCGGGTCGCTTTGTGCGGGCTACCAGATGCACGCCATCGCCATCGAGCTGGGGGCCAAGCTTAGACCCATCCCGCTGTGACTGATGACCACGCAGAGAAGAGGTGAATATCTTGAGTATATTCTCAATGTCAGTGTCGGCGGCTTCGGCATAATTTGAGCGTCGCTTGGGAGAAGCCGTTTCGGTTTGTTTAGGGGCAAACCGCAATATCGTCTCAAAGGCCCTCCGCTCGCTCGCGGTGATGGTAGAGCTGATCGTTGTTTCGGCGTTCTTAGAGGTAGATCTAGGCGCTATGGGAGACCAAGAAACGCTTCGGGCTTTGGCCTTGAGAAATGACTCCTCGTCCGAGGAAAGGGGAGGGTTGCCATCTTCGGTGGCGTCTGAACCCGCCTGAGACGACGCAAATCGCGAACGAGAGCGACAGACTCGGTTTGAGACGCGCAAGATGGTCCTGGTGTGGTACAAGAATGGTAGTTCAATGCGAGCTGCCATATCCTAGACTCCAGTAACGAGAAAACATATATAGAAGAGCATGGCTGGCAGCCCTGGGAAGCGGGAGAAATTCCATATCACGTGCCTGAAGGAAGGTTTAGCGGGACGCGCCCCACTAAGCCAGTTACAGAGCTTGGCAGATTTGCTCATGCTCGGAGCCTGACAACGACGTGCCACTCTGACTCCTGACCCAAGCACGCCAGCCAGGCACTCCAGGCCAGGCTGAATCTTCTCTCTCCGCCCTTTCTTAACCGCAACTGCGCGCCGCGCCCCACCACGCAACTAGTGACCAAGAGACACTTGCTCTGCCCACCGAGCGTGATCCCTCATTGATAAAGACCATATCTACCGCCTTACCTCTACGTCGCTTCTCTGCCGTCTCCTACCACGATTACAAATTCTGAATCTCGTTGTCGCCATTTCCTCCCACACCACTCGATCCCAATCCATCGCACGCTCCGCTCTGACGTACACGTTATCGTCCTGCATCACCCCCACGCTGGTCGGCCGAACACGTGGAGAGTGTGCTTTCGTCCCGAGTCTGCGCGGTCCAGGTGCCGCATGACTTGTGGCACAACTCGCGATCACACAGCATACCAATCCCCCCCGGGGTAGTCTGACCACGTCTTCAGTGCACAGGAACTCTTCCACGCTTCTACCTGCGCTGGGCACACACACTACACCCTCTGTGACCTGTGCACATCATGAGCACTGCCCTCCCTCGATTGACTTCAGAACCCCCTGCAGCCTGGAATGAGCATGATCAATACGGAACCATGAATCGAGGACATTCAAAGAGCACCCCTCAACACCCTGCGTCTATGATGCACGGACCGAGCAGACAGCGCAATGGCTTCGGTGGCGGCAACGGTGAGAAGGCTGTTCCAGTACCAGGATCAACACCATTTGGAAATGGCGCGGACAGAAAAAGCAGTGTTTCACAGGGCCAGCCGTTATTTGATATGGCCAGAAGTCCTCCGACCACGTCAAGCAAGAGTGAATAAGTTTGTTTCCCCGAAAGAATACACGTATGCTGACACGTCGCAAGATACCAAACACGTCCCATGTAAATTCTTCCGTCAAGGTGCATGTCAGGCGGGGAATGCATGCCCTTTTTCTCATTCCCTCGATCCCATGACACAGCAAGCGCCCTGCAAATACTTTATGAAGGTACGAGTGTCTACAGAAGTCATCATAGGTCAGAATCTAACATGTGCAGGGTAATTGCAAGTTTGGCGCCAAATGTGCACTTGCCCACTATCTCCCTGACGGACGACGAGTCAATCGAGCAGACCTCGATGCCGGCTTTGCCATGGCAGGACGGAATTTCAACTACGCAAATCGAACTGAACAGACATCATTCCCAAGTCAAGATCCGAGTGCGGGAGATTCCATGCTCAATCAACCGCCCTTCGGCCCAGACTACTTCCAAGGTCAAGCTTTTCCATTGATGGACGGTGACGAAACAGACGCGTTTCAGGACCGGTACAACCAATATCAACCGCCCTCGGCCCTCGATTCAGGTCTTAACTCACCCCCGACATCTCAGTTTGGTTCCCCTCCCAATGATTACCAATTCCCCAAGTCACCAGTCGAAAACCTTAGAACAGCTCTTAACGCACCTCTACCACAATCATTCGACGCCAATGGAGTTTCCCACATAGCGAAGTACGGACCTCTAGGTCAATCTGTCCCAGACAAGTTTGGCATGCGATCTCCGGCCTCTTCTTCGCTGTCTAGACAACTTGGAAGTCCACCAGAATCGATTGTCAATGTCCGAAACGCCAATCTTGGGTCTAATTTGAGAAATGTGTCACCTCTAGGTCTCTCGCCGCAGAATGCAGAAGAGTCCATTGGCCAGAGAATTATGCATTCCCAACGAACCGTCAAAACGAGAGGACTTTCCGCGAGTGTTCCGCGCTCACATCTTCCTTATGAGTGGGAGGAAGGAATGGGGGCAGAGACAGACCTACTTCCTAACAGTTTGCACGATGAGTTACTTACTCCACAGGAGAAGATGCGCCGCACTTCAAGGGCGGATCAAGAGCACAGCTCCAAGGATCATGTGCATGCCCTAGCGATCCCAAGTGGAACTTCTAGCAAAGTTGGATCCCCGCCAGCGGGAAGCCCTTCCAGATTCAGTGCTCTGTGGGCTGAACAAAGGGAGAAAAAGGCAGCCGAAAGCATCGGCCCGTCCAGCTTTGGCCATGTTGGGTCACCTCTTCGTGGCTCGTGGATGCCTAACGAATCGTCGACTCCGAACGTACAAATATCTGGTATATCTCAAGCGATGGCTCGGATGCAGCTCAATCGAGTTGACTCTGGCGAATTGAATGGATTGAGAGTGCAGCCGAGTGGTCTCAGACATTCATCGGCGCCAATTGGCCGATTTGACCGCGGGATTTCCAGCCCAGGTCTGAGTTCTAAGAAGATCGATGAGGAGGTCGAAGGAGTATTCTTCCCAATGGACGGCGACGACAAGACACCGAACTGGTCAGGTCAGTCACCTCGACTAGTGCCTCTGCGCGACAGAAGTAATGGTGATTTGACAGGACAGAAAAGGGAGATTGCCGGACTTGATGAGACCGGGTTGAAGTCAATATGGGCTTTTCGCTCGTGAGAGGTTTCTGGGGAATAACGACGGATGGCAAAACACGTTGTCACACATAATAACGAAGTACGACCGGCGTTCAAAATTGTACAGAATGGTCGATATCACCGGGACTCTGCATTCAAGTGACGAAGGCATGAAATCCAAAACTGACGCATACATACACACATTCCACGGCGTTTTCAACGAAAGATGAAACCGGAACCAGGGCATTGAGAGAGAGAGGCACGAGAGAAATGATGGGGGCTACAGATACCTCTTGCTTGTTTTGAAGTCTTGCTTATATGGAGTGCCATAGAGACAATGTTGCCAGAGTTGAATACGAGATGATTTGCTGCTGTAATACCCCAATTGTGTGTACCTGATATAGAAGGCTGCAGAAGGCTGAGGCGGAGTCTAAGGCTGAGGTCTCTAAACAGGCCTGATTGGGTCGGGATACCTTCCGCGTACACGTTTGCGTTAGGTTCCTGCATTGAACTTTTTGGAGTGTTACACAGGTCTCCGCCAGGTCTCCGACGACCGTTGACTATTCTAGCTGAAGACTGTATCCCTTCCCTTCTATCCCCCGTTGTTCCAAGGCATGTTGAGTAGTGGCTCGGGGTGGCGGCTATGCTCAACATGCATTGGACCTTTGCTGCGCACGGCAGCTAGAATTGCTGCTCCTCCTCGTCTTCGAGTCCGCTTCCAGAGTTCACGTACGTCAAACATGTCTTCCCATATTGCGAGCGAGATCGCTGCACCTCTCGGACGTCCTAAGTGACTGACTTCTCTCCCAGAGTCGACATTACCTCTTGTGAATGGGCCGGAGTTATCGCCGGTTCTTCTCCAGCGCGCAAGGACAGTCGCCGCAGAACACCAGCAGCTGGCCGCGGCCAATGCGGAGAATTATGATGTAGCCGTCGCGAAGAGGATTGGGGAGTTGGGCCCCGTCTCCACGGCGTTGAAGGAGTGGGATGATGCACAGAATGTAAATATACCCTTTCATCACGGTCGGATGTCGCAGATCTATATATTGACAATGTATTGGGGATTTAGTCTCTCGAAGAACTCAACGCTCTCCTGCATGACCCCTCTTCCGACGCTGAGCTTCGTTCTCTCGCAGAGACAGACATCCAAGCCACTACAGCCTCTTTGCAGCTGCTGGCCTCGAATCTGAAGAGGTCGCTCATCCCGCCTCATCCCTTCGCTTCCATGCCTTGTCTGATCGAAATCCACCCGGGTGCAGGGGGCTCCGAGGCTTCCCTGTTCGCCCAGTCCCTGTTGAACATGTACACCGACTTCTGTGCGCGAAAGAGGTGGCCCGTAACACTGGCGAGCTATTCACCAGACGATTCGACTCATGAGGCGGGACTGACGGACGCGCTGCTGGAAGTCAATCATCCCGGCTCATATGATGTATTGAGGACAGAAGCCGGAGTCCATCGCGTGCAGCGTGTCCCCGCGACGGAGAAGAAAGGGCGCACACACACCAGTGCGGTCTCGGTGCTTGTACTGCCCAACCTGCCAGACTCATCGGCCAGTGCGGAGGGGTTGAATTACGACGACCCTAACTCGGACTACTACATCTCGCCGGCGGAGGTGAGATCGGAGACGATGCGGGCGAGAGGCGCGGGCGGCCAGCATGTCAACAAGACCGACTCGGCCGTGCGACTGACCCATCTGCCAACGGGGACCGTCGTGGCGATGCAAGACTCGCGCTCCCAGCACAAAAACCGCGAAAAGGCCTGGGCGGTGTTGCGGGCCAAGCTTGCCCAGATGCGCCGCGAGCAGCGCGAGGCCGAGATCATCAGCATGCGCCGCGCGGCCATGGGCGGCGTCGCCCGCACGGGCAGAGAGGACAAGATCCGCACGTACAACTTTTCCCAGAACCGGGTCACCGACCACAGATGTGGCGTGGAGAGTAGCGACCTGGACGGCGTCCTGGGCGGCGGCCAGAGCTTGGAGACGGTCATGAACAGTGTCCGCGAGTGGATGAACGAAGAAGAGGTTCGGGGCTTGGTGGCCGAGGAGGAGATGAAGATGAAGGGCAAGGAGAGACAACAGCGATAGCAAAATGAAAATAAAAAACATAGCTTCAGTGAACATAGCATCTTAGTAATGCTTTCTCCTGTTTGTTTGTTTTTTCTTCTTCTGGCAGCTACTGCCGCTTGACGCCATGCTACCTACACACAGCAGGAGACGCTTGCTGGCCCATCCCTGTAAGTAAAAGCACATGTGTGAGCTCTTCAATCCCTGCAGACCCTGTTCACCAACCAGCTAGCTAACGATTTAGCTAGTTGTGCTTAGTTCGCAGCTCAAAAAAAAAGGGTCCCCTGTTCCAGTCCCTCAAAAACCTGTCATCACTCAATGCCATGCCATGTCATGCTCGTGGGTATCATCCCTTTTTTTCCCTTCTGCTTCTCTCCCGAATGCACGTCACTTTTTCCTTGCTTTTGCTTTTGCTTTGGTACTCTGCCAACAGCTTCTCCGTCACCCATGCTTCTGTTCACTATTCTTCGCTGCCTCGGATCGAGCTCTTCGAGCTCCTTCAGTGACGACATTCCGAATTCCTTTTGCAGCTGGCGGGCTGTTCAGACTGCTGGAGTGGAACGGACTATTACTCCGTAAAACATTTTTGTCGATTGTCTTGATCTTCTTGTCGTTTCGTTTGATTCAGCTATTCAACAGAAATTCTTTTTGCGCGCATTGATTCCATTAGTGTCCGTTCATTTCGCCACAGCGGCGCTCAACACCTGTGTGCGGAAGAATGCGCCCTTCGTCTTCTCAATGACCTGTTGGTAAACACTTTGTGGGGGGTGGTTCATGACTACCGTTCCAGCCTGGTAATCGATTTTAGCGTCAACTTTTGTGTCGCGGATGAGATTAACAATCCATTTCTCGCCTTCACTGGGGGAAAGTCCAAGACGGGTGGAGAGATCCCTGGATCACGGGAGTCAGTATTTGAGTTGGTGCAAAGGCGTAGTTCACTCACTGGATATCGATTCTCTGGTGGATTTTGCAATAGCTTTCCGAGATGAGATGTCGGGCACTCTCCATGAAAGCATCTGTTGAGCTCCCCAGGAAGAAATCTCCTCTCAAGATTGCCTCAGCTTCCGACAACTTTTTCTGTGCACCTTCGAAATCGAAGTCGACATATAGGGCCTTGACAAATTCCGTCACAGGGTCCTGATATTCGTAGACTTCCTGCTTCACCACTCTGACAAGGTCCTTGAGTTGTTTCTGGTAGTTGTGAGAGTTGTTCATGCGGGCACGGTTGGTGATGACTGCTGCGGTGAGGTAACGCAAAATCCAGGGACAAACAGTTTGGATAGAAGAGATGTATGGTGGGGAGAAGAACATTTCGGTCAGCTTTTCGCGAGCGGGTTCGTAGTTGAAGAAGGGGAAAAGAGCATAGTGCACCAGGGCTTCACGAGCGGTAAGTTGTGCGCGGGGGCTGTTGAACAGACGTGTCTCAATGTGTTCCTTGACCTTTTCCACTTCTTCAAGGGCGTTTTCCCATTCTTCTCCCAGAATTTCACAGACCAGCTTGCCCCACGTGGCCTTGACCACTTTTTCATTGTCAGTGGAGAGGACACGGAAGCGGTAGAGTAAGTCAGCGGCTTCGGGGTAAAGACCGCACTGGTAACGGAATCTGCCAAAATCATAGAGGTTGTCTACCATCTGCTGCGTAACTCCGTGTTGCTCTTCAAGAAATTTCAGGTTGGCGACTTTGTCACTTCGGAGTTGAGATGTAACTGACTCGTCGTTCAGCAAATTGGTCAGGTGCGCAGATTCCTCCTGGTACTTTGCCAGTTGATTCAACACTTCCTCTCTCTTCTTCGCGTAGTCTGCAGGAGTCGCGTCTGTCTTGTGAATTTCCTTGTAAAGATTGCCGACGTAGTCGATCATGTTCGTGTCACTGAGGAGGTTGAATATGGCCTGTTTAAGGTCATCGTAACGCTCTTGTGAGATATCTTCTGACTGCAGCTTGTGTTCAAGTAAGGGAAAGATGAGATGTCGGTCCATGTGCTGAATGAGTTTCGCCAAAAAGGCATATTCGCCGGTTGGGTCCTCGAGGTGCGCCATCGTGAATCTGGGTCGCGGTTCGTACCCTATGTAAAGGGCGTCGTAGAATTCTACCACAATTTCCAAATTCTCGGGCGTTAGGATGTCTTTTGAAGGCGGAGGAGAAGGAGGCGGAGTCGGCGGGAGGGAGATGCAGAAGATATACCCAGGTATATCTTGATTATCTTCGTGCTCAGGATGGCCCTTTGGGAGATTGTGGACCTGTGAGAACATTTTGAATATTGGTGGTGCGCCTGTGAAATTGAATCGAGCGGCGTCACGCTAATCCTAAAATCGTTAGCCTTAAATAGGCAAATAAAAAGCAGCGTCAATGCCAAGACGAGTCAACGTTAGTCTTGGCGTTGACAGCCTTGCACCTCACGTGTGCATCACGTCCAGTGTCCTCGTCTCAATAATTTGCTTCCAAGGTGCACAGCGCTTCCCAATTGTTTGCGCTGTTGGACATGACGATGAAGCCCCCTTCAACTCTACTTCTACGGGCCATGCTCCACCCACAAAAGCCTCTTTGTCAGGTTAGGTGGAAGTCAGAATGGATGCCCAGGGAGAAGTACGCAAAAATCACAACTCTGGACAAGCTACATCGAAGACAAAAAGCAGCCATCCGGAAAGAAAGTATGTCATTGCAGCAGGAGAGTCGTCTTGAAACTTCCCTGTCTGAACACTCACTGACATAATTCGCAACCAACAGGACAGGACAGCGAAAATCGAGCTGCCAAAATGTATCCGACCCCAACTTCTTCAGCGACTCACTCGCAGTTACAACAACCACAGCAGCAGGAGCAGGAGCAACGACAAATGCCTCCCCAACATCCATATTCCCTTAAGAGTCAAATCCAGGACCATAATCTAACACCCACGCTCTCCCCACTTCCGTACCTGGTCGTGCGCACCCCGTCCAAAAACCTCCCAATCTACCAAACCTCCAAATCTGGCGGCTCCAAACACATCACCACGATCCGCAAGATCAAGGGTGATCTACAGGGGCTAGCAAACGCTGTGCGCGCCGCTTTGGGGTTGGAAGAATATATCACCGACGTGCGGGGACGGAAGAAGGCCAACGTTGTGATCAACTGGACGACGAGGCATGTGGTTGTGAGGGGGTGGAGAGGTCCAGAGATCAAGCGGTGGGCAGAAGTAAATGGGTTTTGAAACATACCATGGGTGAAGAGCACAAAATGGCCACGGTGACAGGTGTCCGGAGGCATATGGCCATGCGAGCACCATACGATGTCTCATGTTCCGGAATGTGATGGTGGTGATGATGGTGCAAGGGGGGTGGGCAACCAGCTGACCTCACCGAGCCTCTGCACCTGACACCACATCCCATGGTACTGGGAGTTTCTAATATGGCGCAGTGAGCTCTATCAGGCACTGATGGGACAACAGCAAGCAATCGCAAGAACCAGAAGTCTATTTTGCGATCTACTCTACATGACGGGGGATGCATGAAAGGGAACCCTGATCTTGAGAGATATCAAGTTCCCGAAGAGTGAAGCAGAAAATAGCTGGCATGTATTTATGCGTGTATCACTAACAAAATCAATTGTTTCATGCTTGGTGGCTTAGATTTCCTTCTCGCCAGTGTCACAAACGTATGGAGCTCAACCAAGGGGCGGTACGAGATTACAGAAGTAGCAGCCTGAAAGGCAATGCCCTTTTTCCTTTGCCTTGCTCTTAAGCTCAAGTCAAACAGCTTCTTTAATAGAATAAAGTTGAAGACTAAGTACACATATTTTGTGCCCTTCCATCTCTTTTTGGAGAGGAGTAGGCATCTCTTCAGTACCCAACCATTGTAACTATCATTTGGAGGTACAAAAAGGCCCTCAAGTCGAGCCCAAAGAAAGTTCCCGTCATAGCACATCTTGTTCTTGTCCTCCAACTCTTATTTGCACATGCTGAATGAATGCAATAGGGTATGCTCAAAATCCCGTACATCAGCCCAATGGCGCGCATGCCATCCAATGCTCATTGCGCTAATCCTCTAAACCAGCATAAACACAAAGTTGTCGCAGAATGCCGGGATCAATATCTTTCTGTATCATCGCTCCCAGCAAGGACTCTTTGCTCGGCATGATGCCCAACGGTACGATTGTAGAGCCGCTTTCGTCAGTTCTTCGAGCTTTTTGCACCAGAGTCTTCAATACGGCGATAGCACGATTTGCGATTGCCCCATACCCATTAGCGTCGGGTTCAAAGGCATTATTTCGGCTATTTGGTTGTGGGTGTCTGGGAGCGCTTTGAGTCGACCGGTCCGCACTCAGTAAACCAACCAACCGTAAAAGATTGCCTGCAAAACCATCGTCTGACTCTAGCCATGAGCGCGCCAATGGATGATCTGAGCCCGGAGCAAGACCCGCCAAGATCTCTGCAGCCAACATTCCTTGTAGGAGGAAGGGTTTCCGTGCTTCGATGAGTGTCCTGGTATGGCTTGAGTTTGCTGGTATTGAAGAAATTGCGAGTCCAAATGCCCTCGTCAATAGCTCGTAGGGAGGGCTCGAATGCGCATCGGTAGCAAAGATGGCCTTGTAGTATGTCCGGTTCGGTTCGTCTCGCGCCAGAAGCTTGGCGAGGCTATCGACAGCGGAAGGCATGTATTTGTGTAGAGCGGGCGTGTATGGGACGAAAGAGACCTTGGTAGCAGAGCTTGAGGTAGGTGGTGGGGTGGGTGCGAATGCAAGAAGGAAATGCAGGACACAAAGGGCTTCTTCCTTCCCAGGAAGCTGAAGCAAGGTCGACAAGTTACTAAAGTAGATGACCGCATCTTTCATGAAATCCAGGGTGTTTCTATTGTGTCGCAGGAACATTTCCGTGGTGCCAAGATATCGAATCACTGTGCTCAGTAACTTGACAACCTCGGGTTGACCCAGTGGGATGAAGTTGGCTTCGTAGAAGGAAAAATTGCGTAACAGGGTAGTGATACAAATCAGGCGATCCGCGGCTCTTTCAAGATCATAGGCGACCGTTCCAAACTCGGGGGCGTCTTG